GCAGGAGATGGATGATAGCGAGGCAACAGCTACACATATCAAGTCAGACATCAAGGCACTTGAGCAGCGATACGCTATCGTCGAGCCAGGTGAACGCTGCTACGTCTGTGGTTTGCCACTGCTGGCTCGTCAGTTCTTTGTTTTCCCCTGCCAGCACGCGTTCCATAGCGATTGTTTGGCTAAGAGGGTGGTGGAGCTTGCAGGTATTGCGCGTGGGAAACGCATCGCTGAGTTGCAGGTTGAGGTGCAGAAGGGGATCAAAACGGGGGCGAGTAGGGAGAGGGCGATTCGCGAGCTGGATGCGCTGGTGGGGAGTAGCTGGTAAGTTATCCACCTTGTCCATCCCTTTTATTTTTTCATACCTTTTCGAGGACACAGATACTAACATAATATGTGTGATAGCGTATTATGCAGTGAGTTAGCTGTCAAACTCGTTAATGAACCGTTTATCAGTGCAAATGATGACAAGGACGAATGGGCGCTCTGAGATGGCAAACTATCGTCAGATGCTTTTTCAAACAAACATCCGCTAGAAATCGTTCCCACAAGCAAATTTAATTGGCAGACGAAAGCTTTCTATTATACATGGCACCAAAGAAACTTTTTTTAGGTTAACCCTCTACCAAATAAATGGTTCACAAATTTTCTTGTCTCTTTCCCTGGAAAACCCCCACCCTTCACCATTTGCATCGCGAATAAAAAAAAAAGCAGATCAAAAATGGGATGAGATTAAGAGGAATAAGATACCTACTGCCCCATCCTTTCTCCTAGACGCCACGGCGCTGATGCAAAAGAATCCGTAAAAGAGGACAAGACCAGATGAGGGAAAATTGCCCTGAAATAATTTAGGAAAAAAAAGCGATGCAAGATGAGGTGATGGGGGTCTTAGAAAAAGAACGCCATCGGATATAACTAATGATTAAAAGACCTGAACTCACTCCCTTTCAGATCATCATGACATGTCGTGCCCGTGTGTAAACTAGTATTTGAAGCGACTTTCTACTCGTCTTCATCATCGTCCATGGCAACGTCGTTTGACTTGGGGGCTGCTGTCGCACCGTCGTCGTCGTCCTCGTCTTCATCGTCGACGACACGAGCTTTACGTGGCCGAGGAGCAGCAGCAGCAGCAGCAGTGCCTTCGTCATCACTTCCAGCAGGAGCTGCACCGTCCTTGTCGGCGTCATCTGCAGGGGCTGCCGCGCCGTCATCGTCGTCGCTCTCGTCGTCAATGAACTCTGCAGACTTGTATTTGCCTGAGGGCTCACTCTTGCGGGCGAGCTTCCGCTTCTTCTTCTCACGTGGCCGCTCTCCATCGGATAGTTCCTCGGTACCGCTGACTGTGGTCCTCCGGCGCCTTGAGCGTGGCTCATCGTCGTCAGAAGGCAGGCCGTCTGTGTCAGAGTCGGCATCCTTCTTCTTGCGCTTGGGTCCCTTTGGTCCGCGTGCTCTACGCTCAGCTTTGCGAATCTCCTTGTCCTCATCGTCTTCCATTCGCTTGCGCTCTTCTTCGTTGCGCTTCTCCATGAGCTCGCGATCACGCTGAATAAGACGCTCTTGCTCTTCTGCATACTTGCGTTTCTTTTCTAGAGCCTCTTCTTCTAGGCGCTTCTTCTCCTCTTCACGACGGAGTTTTTCTGCTTCGCGGAGACGGCGAGCCTGGTCGAGTTTGGTCGCATTCTCGCCTTCATATGCTGCTTGCTTTTCACGGGCACGCTCGAGTTGCTTGATCATGGTGTTGCGACCCATGTTGGCACGGGAAGTGATATCGGCACGAGGGAACGGTGGTGTTTCCTCCTTTGCAAGTTTCTCTAGCGCCTCAATGGCTTCTGTAAGACCCGTGGCGGCGTCGTCGACTTCTTCGAGGGTACGCTGATGCTCTGGAAGCGAGTAGATCATGGTTGCAATCTGGAATTGGACAAAGGCAACGTTAAACTGCGAGTTGAGGTCGGCGGGAGCAGCTTTGAGAGCTTGCTTTGAGTAGTCGAGCGCGGTCCGGAAACCAGCTATGCTGCGCTCATGCTTAGCTCGGAGGTACCATGCTCGTCCGAGGCAGGCCAGAATCTTGGGGTCATTGTGACGATTCTTCGACAGGGCGGCCTCATACTTCGATGTGTCAGCGAATGCTATTTTTATGTAAAGAGAAGAACTACAGAACTTACGTTTTCAATTGCGCGGGCATACTGTCTGATCTCGCAGTATGTGTGGCCCAAGTTGACGAATACACTATGGTCTTTGAGTGTTTCTTTGACTTTTGTGAAGATTTGCAGGGCTGTCGAATAGTCTTTCTTATCTTCAACCAATGCGATTGCGATACCCTGTGCTGCATATGCGTTCTTTGGGTCGAGCTGCAAGACCTTGTCAAAGAACTCCACAGCTCGTTCGTAGCCTTTCCGGCGCTTTTCCTTGTCCTGTTCAGAAGTCCTTGGCATCTCACGAGCAATAGCCAAATGGATGTTGCCCATGCCCATGAGCGAGTAGCGGTCGTGCTTGTCGGACTTTTGTAGAGTGTGCTTGTAAAGTCGTTGTTCATCGTCTGCGGCAAAGTTCTGGGTCCTCTTCTTGGACTTGTTGACGTACCATCCGTACAAGGCGCGAACTTCGACATTGTCCTCATTTTGTTTGAAAAGATCCTTGACAGCTCTCGGGCCCTCGTCCTGAGGGTTCTCCTTGAGAGCCATATAGGTAAGTCGAATGCGAGCGTCGACGTAATCGGGATGCCTCTGGAGCAAACTATTGTATACTTTCTTGGCCTCGTCAGTCTGACCCTCGGCTTCGTAAGTCCGGGCAAGATTGAAACTGATAGAAGTAACAAGAGCATCAGTGTCGATCGTGTCGTCGCGGTTCTCAGCATTGACGCATGCAGTGAGAGCAACTTGGAAGAGTTCCTGAGCACGTACGTAGCGCTCAGCCTGGAAGTGGAAGCAACCCATGTTGTTAAGCAACTGTGGTGGCAACATTTCGCGGAGAGCGGTCGTGAGCTCGGGGCCCTCTTCAATGCCTTCTGGATAGTCCTCCTGAGGAATGGCTTCGATCTCCATCTGCTCCACCTCTTCGAGACATTTTAGACTCCTCTCAGGGTGTTCGGTCTCGTACAGTCGAGCAAGGTTAAGAAGCACCGACTGGTCAGGCACCACCTTCCTCTTGGGATCCTTCCATGCACTTTGAACGCTTTCGAGATACTTGAGGGCCTTTTTCAGCTCGGCAGACTTGTCTTCAGTGGACTTGCTGTTCTGGGCATTGAAGACATCCTCCGCATAAAGAGTACCGAGCAGGGTTTGGGCCTCAACATTGGGCGATTGCTGAAGGATTTTCTCGAGGCGGAACTTTGCACCATCATAGTTGCTCATCAGGACGTTCATCTGAGCCAATCCGAACTTTGCGGGTATGAAGCCCCGCTCCTCGCCTCCACGAGCCTGGTCAGACTTGGAATAGTACTCTGCCGCCAAAGCAATGTTATCCTGCTGGTGTGCCACCTTAGCGCGCAGGTACCAACCATCACTGGCAATGGCATTGGTGTCTGTGAGCTCGATGGCGCGCCTTGCGACATCTTCGGTCTTGTTGACATCCCTGCGGAGGATGAGATAGCTACCGACAGTTGCGCAACTCAGAGGGTACTGGTTATCTAGCTTGAGTGCGGGCTGGATGAACTCGCCTGTAGCCTTCTTGATCAGCTCTGCAAACTTGGGGTCGGAGGTGGAGAGATTGGCAGTCTGCTGGAAGTTGTAGATACCGAGCAGAATCAGGGCGACTTTCGAGCGGGGGTTCAGTTCGAGAGATCTTTGCCATGCGTTGGCCGCTTCGTCTTTGTAGCCCAGTTGCCAGAAGCAGCAGCCGATACCGATGCGCGGGTCTGGATCGATGAGGTCTGGAGAGGTCTCGAGGATGTTTTGGTATGCCTTTAGAGCGTCTGCCCATTTGCCCATGGAGTAGTTGACGCGCGCCTTGCCCATCTTGGCCATGAGATTCCTTCCACCTGACGCTCGCAGCGCGTCCTCGAAGCACTTCGCGGCCTGCTTGAGCGTCTCCATGCGCTCGGGACTGACAGTAGATCCAGCAGCTGTGGCAGGGCCCTGGAGAGAGGCCTTGAGAAGGTACAAGACACCGCGCGCGAGGAAGAGCGGGGGGTGCGAGGGGCTGATTCGCGAGGCATCGTTGAGGACTCCGGTCGCAGACTGGATCCAGAACTCCTTGAGCTTTGTATCTGGGACGGCGTTTTCTAGAAAACAAGTTAGCTGGTATGTTATATGGGACGCGATACTTGGGGTAGCGTACGTGGGCGGACGCGAGGAGCTTCGCGGCACTTGAGCAGGTACAGCCAGCAGAGGCCATTGAGGATGCTGAGGCGGTCGTCTGGGCGGGCGCGGCTGAAGACCTGGGTAGCCTGCTTGAGAACGTCGATGGCTGTCTCTATGCGCTTGTGCTTTGCGTAGGCGACGGCGACCTGGACCCAGGTGGACGTGGCGCTCTTCTCGGCTTCGAGGATGTCGCACAGCTCTGTCGGGTCGTCCTGGATCTGATCGTCGAGGGGGATTTCAACATCGAGCTGGCCTCCTTCGTCATCGGCGACCGAGATGGTAATAGAACTAGGCACGTCCGAGTAACGTGGTGGAGGGAACATGGCGCCGGCCCCGTTGACGCCATTCGCGCCGTTGGCATAGACGGCGGCCATGCTGGGGGGACGAATGCGCGGGTGGGAGCGTGATGTGGTGGTGTTGCAGAGGCGATGCTAGCACGGCATTGGGGGTTCGAGTGAAGGGCCGGGGCGGGTCGAGGGCAAATGGCCAGCCTGCGCGTTGTCGTCGATGTCGTGGTGGTGATAATGGGGAGAGACAGAGAAAGAAAGAAGCTCCGACTAGTAGGGAGTCTTGGCGCGTATCGCCGTCTCCATGCCTGCCACCAACCAGTCCGCGCACTAAACGACAAAGACGCGGCCGGGTGTGTGACACGCTCACCAGACTGGAGCATTTCCATTGCCTTTTACTGCCCGGACTTATACCACACTAATTCCACGTCTGCACCCGCGCCCAGAGCCTGTCTTGTGCGTTGCAGCCGTTGGTAGGCCTGTCCGCTCGACTAGGGCATGCACATAGACACCCCCGAGGTCTCCGCAACATACGTACGCAGTGGCAGCCATACATACATACATACGCACATACATAGACATCAACCACAGCACATGCACCCCGACCATGCCCCAGGCTTTCGTCTTCAGGATATGACTATAATCGCGACGCCCACAGTAATCGGCATCCCTCGACTTCTCTAGAAGCGCCATGTCGCGCAACCCAGGCTACTCGCAGGCGGGGGCCAATGGCGGCTACGCCAACGGCGGTGCCAACTACAACAATGGTGGGGGATACAATGGCTACGCCGGCAGCGATGCCAGCTACAACAGCAGGCCTAGCGGTGAACGTCCACGGCGACCTGGTGGGTACGGCGCCATGAATGCCCCTTCAGACGGCTATGCGCCGCGACCGAGCGGCGAGCGCGAACGACCACGGCGGCCCGGTGGATATGGAGGCCTCGCTCAGGAAGATGACATGGAGCCAAGGCGAAGCAGCGACCGCGATCGCAGGCCTGGGGGCTACGGCGGTGGTGGCTTCTCTGCCCGCGACGGGAGCCCACGCATGGCTCCACGCACAAACAGCAATGAAGGCTCCCCAGCAAAAGGCCGCCCTTCCGACCGCCAGAATGGCTCCAGGCCCAGGAACACAAACTATGGGCCAGGCAGCCAGGCCATCGAGGAGGTGCTGCAGTTCATCCGCCAAAACTGGGACTTTATGACAAAGGACCAGTGCGTGCCCATCGAAGTCGCCCTGAAACTCATGGACTCGAGCTCCCTCGGCCTCGCAAACCAAGCAGACCAGTTCCAGCAGACCCACCAGCAGTTGCAAAACGCCCTCAAGGGCATCGTCAACGGTACCCTGTCTTGCCCCAATGCCTAGGTTCTTGGCTAACCCACTGCAGAGCACCACCAAGGCTTCAATAGCTCCATCGGCACCTTTCACCAGATCCAGTCCAGTCTCCAGAGCTCACAGCACCGTGTCAGAACGCTCAAAAGTTCCCTTATATCAGCCAAGTCACAGCTCTCTACTGCAAAGCCGGAGCTCAGAGAGTTCGCTACTACTTCCCAGAACTACGATGGCATGCTACAGATGCTCGACACAATAGAAAAGCTACAGCTAGTTCCCGAAAGACTGGAAGCACGTATATCAGAGAAGCGGTTTTTGACTGCTGTAGACATCCTTCAAGATGCCCTGCGTATGATCCGCAAAACTGAAATGGAGAAGATTGGCGCCCTGTCTGATTTGCGCACATATCTTAGCAACCAAGAAGTCTCTCTGACTGACATTCTAATTGAAGAACTTCATAGTCACCTCTACCTCAAATCACCGTATTGCGAGGATAGGTGGAAGGAGTACGCCCACAACCAGGTCAAGGGCGACTTGTCTCAACGTGCGCAATCCGATGCAAGAGGTCGGCTGCTATACTACTTCCTCGATGGCCTCGACACCTCTGAGCCAGTATGTACCTGTTGCAGTCTGCTACATCCTGCTAACAACTCTAGATGACCGATGATTCTGCCCACAACCCAGAATCAGACACCTTCCAGTACATTAGGCTCGTCATAGAAGCACTTGAGAAGATGAACCGTCTCGAGGTCGCCATTGACACCATCGAGCAGAGATTACCCGTCGAGCTATTCAAGGTTGTTGAAAAGTCCAACAACGAAGTGGCTCAACGGCATCCCAGCATATTACGCGCCTACTCGGCCAAGAAGAATTCCAAGTCCAAGACTGAGATTGAAAGCGAAGACGTCCGAACAACCCTACTCAACGATTTGATGTGGACCCTCTATGCACGTTTCGAAGCCATTGCCGAAAGTCATCGGGTCGTGCATGATGTCGTGGCGGGCATCGTTCGCCGCGAGGGTCGGTCATCGAGTGCAACCCTAACCCGCGGCTTCAAGGAGTTGTGGAAACTCTACCAGAGCGAGGTAATGTCAGTCAACTTTCACTCGTAGCGTTTTGCTAACCCTCTCCAGATTCGCTCTCTTCTTCACGATTACCTTGCCACAGACGGTGAGGCCTCTTATAGAGATGGACAGGCCAAGTCGTCCGCTGCCAGCGCATTCTCTCGTGCTCCTCGCGATAAGAACAAGCGCATGTTCAAGCTAACCGACGTTGACACAAAAGCCTCGGACTTGGCCAAGGAGAAGAATGACCTTGAGCTTATTCTCAAGACATCTGTGCCTGGACTCGTGTCTGATTCAAAGAGACTCGACGACGTCGATACCAACAACACCACAAATCTTGATGGTAGCGCCACTGGACACAAGCTTCTCGTCGAGCCAAGCGTCTTTAACATGGGCATCTTGCTCCCGCCTTCGCTCGACTTCCTCAATAGATTGAAGGAGGTCGTGCCATCCAACGCTGAAATCAGCTTAAGCACCTTGACCTCGTTCTTGGACGACTTCCTGGTCAATGTCTTCCTTCCGCAACTCGACGAGACTCTGATTGAGCTCTGTGCACAAACATTCATTGAGCTTGACGCCTTTGCTGAAGACCCACAATGGGCAAGACACTCCAAAAAGCCAATATTCAAGGTATGCATCTGTTCGACAGTTATCCCCCCCAAAGCTAATTCTGTAGGGAACCTCGCAATTTTTCTCTCTCATCACAGCATTCTGCAAAATGCTTGACAACCTTCCGCATGATCAGGCATTCTCCCAACTCATTGTCAATCAGATGGATACATATGCCCAAAAGTGCATCGGCTGGTACAAAGCCCTGGTTGGCCGCTCAAAACCCACGCCCAGTGGCCGCCTTATGAAAGCGCCAGCTGTATGGGCCGAGTCGGATGCCATGGAAGAACTCATTGCCCGTCTGGAGCAAATAGATCCTTCTGACCAGGCCAACCTCAACGATGCTATTGAGAGCGAGGTCGCCCTTCTCATTGAAGCAGTAGAAGCAGATGAACCGTTGGACCAGGCTGATATGATCCAAGACAAGAAGAGCATCATCAACTTGTGCCTGTTGTACACCAGCATGAAGTGGCTGGCTACTAAAACGGCCCAGCTAAGGTACATTAGTGATCGTGCCTCGGCTCCAGTCAACATAGAGACCAGTGGCCAGAAGCATAACAGACGATGGACCAAGCTTGCGTCTTCTGACCCAAGACCCCAAGGTGCTCCTGTATATCTGCCGTTGAGCACAGAAACTGCTGCGTAGGTATCATACATATTCACTGACAAGACATAAGCTTACCCCGAGTAGTATCTTCGATGCAGTAGTAGTGGCGTATCGATCACTTTCTACCCGTGCCTTGCGCACATTGCATCTTGCAATCCGCAGTACAATCCTGTACTCACTCGACGCAAGCATGCAACCAAACATTTACATTGACACGCTTCTCAACGATCCCGACCCAACAATCCTCACTCTCAACTCAAATCTCGTGTCTTTTGATACGGAAGTCTCAACATATATTCCCACGGCCTCGTACAGTCACATCACACGTGGTTTAGCGTCGTTGATGGATAGATACCTCTTCACTCTTTGCACCTCCAAGATTGAGCGCATGAACACCAATGGCTGCGCACTCATGCAACTCAACATCCTTGTTCTGCAGCAGAACCTGAAAAACATCGAGGAGGGCGCGACACTTCCTTACGCCGCACTCTTCTTCGACCTGTTCACCGCAGGCCCCGAGGCCATTGTCGCAAGAGCAAGACAGTACGGCAAAGGCTTCGGTGTCCCCGGCGAGAGGTTCGGAGAGGAAGACGTCAAGAAACTACTCCAAATGGCATACGAAGAGAGGCTTAACGCCGAAAACAGAGAGGCTAGCGTGCAAGCTAAACGATCGCTGGATGCGCAGCTACTGGAGCTCAGCGAGTTCATGTACTAAACGGTGAGCAGTTGGTCAGAAGGATTGTGTGGCTTTGATTCGTTGATAAGAGACTGTAGTTTGCGTAGGATTGCATCAGTTGTAAATAACTTCCTCAGCCTTATTCGTTGCGTCCCCTCCTCCCCCCATCGGCGTCTTCAAGATCTGTCGCCGTTTAAGGCTTACGCGTCCTACACCGTATAATTCTCATCTTTTTGTGGCAAGTTAACCAGTGCCCCAACCGTGCTGCCGCTCATCCGCTGTGCCACAAAAACGATAAGCGTCGGCGAGGTCGTTCGGCGCACGGCCCGGACGGTCGTTGAAGGAATACCTCGCCGATGTCTATTTAAGCCTGGGGTCTGGGACCCTGAGCTGCCAGCGCAAAAACGCCGCGAAGAGCCAAGGCTGAGATTTCCCTACTACTTTCCCTACAACTCGATTAGCGAGAGTGGGGGGGCATCTTGGCCGGACTTTTTGTACAATGTACGGTTTTGCCCTCAGCCTTGTTTGCACATGCGTAGCATGCGCAATGCTGAATTACGATAGTGGCTTCTTTGGTTGTAAATGGCATTCCTGGTATCCAAACGGCGACTTCAGTCTTACGTACGGAATACGGCATCCACTTATCACGAATAAAACCTCTCTGGCTTACGTCGCCCCCCCATCATCCGCAAAATCTCACCTTGCACACCCCCTCCCCGCACACACGCACACCGCATTCGTGCGCTTGACTATTGGCTTACACGCAGCAGCTGCGCTTGTTTTTTTCAGCTGCCATCCTTTTGGCATTTATTACACGGCGCTTAGTCCTTCGCAGCGATAGCGTGGCGTAATGTAGTGTAACAGTAGATACGGTGTGCGGCCCCGCTTCTTTCCGAAACAGTAAACCATCTGGATTCGTCTGCCCTGTGGATAATGGGGTTCGACTTTGGGAAGGGTCCTCGGAGGGGTGGTAGGGTGTGTCATCTCAGGGGTTTCCCCTTTAGGTAAGGTTGTTTGGGTGGCAGAGTTTACTCGCCGATACAGATACGTTTACGGGGGCGGACGAAACCGGAGTCTGTGTGCCTTAAATGTGAGATTCTGAGGCTGAATGATGATATATATGGTGGATGGAAGGGGGGGGGGGGCGGTTATTTGCTGGACCAATATTTCTTAGATTTCGGTGCGTTGGTTTCACGATATATACATATCATTTTTCTGTTTGATTATTGTTGTCGAAGTATTTCTAGTAGAAAGACTACAAGCCTCTCTCGTCATGTCATCTACAGGCGAAGCCCCGGATGTGGAAAAGGGAACTGATATCTCGGACTTTGCTCATCTTACCAACGATGTCGTACAGAGTTTTAGCTGGCAGGATGTCACTGTCACTGTCAAGGATCGCGCTTCAAAACAACCGCTGGATATCCTATCCAATGTTAGCGGTATCCTAGAGGCGGGAGAGATACTCGCTCTCATGGGACCCAGTGGCTCGGGAAAAACGACATTGCTCAATGTACTTGCTCATCGGGCGGCCATGCCAAACGCGACTATCAAACAGGACCTGAGGGTCAATGGGGAGCCGACGACATTGGCTACGTTTAGGAAATTGAGTAGCTATGTGGAACAGGAAGATGCACTTGTCGGGTCTCTGACCGTCAGGGAGACACTACACTTTGCAGCTGCGCTTGCATTGCCCAGGTACACTTTCAATCGTACCATATAATCTTTGTGCTTTTTCACTAACGATCAACCCGATAGTTCAATAAGCAAAGCAGCACGCAAGGCCCGCATATCCAGCCTCCTATCTTCCTTTGGTCTGCAGAACCAAGCTGACACATTGATCGGAACGCCGATTCGAAAAGGTGTATCTGGCGGCCAGAAGCGTCGTGTAAGCGTTGCCAGTCAACTCATCACAAGCCCAAAGATTCTATTTCTCGACGAACCCACTAGTGGACTTGACTCTGCAGCTAGCTACGAAGTCATGAATTTCGTAAGGGACATTGCGAAAAAGCACAGCGTGCTTGTCATTGCTTCTATTCATCAGCCCTCGACGACAACATTCGAGCTCTTTGATAAACTCATGCTGATGAGCAGAGGGAAGGTGGTGTATAATGGTGCAGTAAAGGAGGTTGGAGAGTACTTCACCGGACTGGGATATGAAGTATGTACAACAACTTCACCTCGAGGAGAATCCATTGGAAACCGAGCAGAGAGCTAACACAACTACCCATCAGATGCCCCTATATACCAACCCCGCAGAATTCGTCATCGAACTTGTAAACACCGACTTCTCCACCGACTCCACCGCCGCATCCCAGCGCCTCACCCACCTCCACACCTCCTGGGCCACCTCCCCCGCCGCAACCGCCTTGACCTCCAAAATCAACTCACAATCCGCCTCCCAAGCTCTCTCTACCATGCTTGCCACGCACCAAACCGCCAACCCAACCCTCATCCCCCTCACCCTCATCCACCGCTCCTTTATCAAATCCTACCGCGACATCGTCGCCTACGGTCTGCGCATCGGCATGTACATGGGCCTCGCAATAATGATGGGAACAGTCTGGCTGCGTCTCTCCCCGAAGCAATCCAACATCCAGGCCTTTACCAACGCCATCTTCTTCGGCGGCGCATTCATGTCCTTCATGGCTGTCGCCTACATCCCCGCCTACCTCGAGGACCTCGCCATTTTCACAAAGGAGCGCGCAAACGGCTTGTACGGCCCCACCTCGTTCATGATTGCGAATTTCGTAGTCGGCGTGCCGTTTCTGTTTATCATCACAATACTGTTTAGTGTGATCAGTTATTGGCTCGGCAACTTTCGGCCCACGGCTGAGGGGTTCTGGGTGTGGGTGCTGTGGCTTTTTCTCGATTTGCTGGCGGCTGAGTCGCTGGTTGTGTTGCTGTCGTCGCTTATACCGATTTTCGTGGTTGCGCTGGCGGCCACGGCGTTCGCGAATGGCTTGTGGATGTGTGTGAATGGGTTCATGGTGCAGCCGGAGACGCTGAATGTGTTTTGGCGCTATGTTTTTCATTATATTGACTACCAGGGCTATGTGTTCCGGGGGATGATGGTCAATGAGTTTGGGAAGAGGAACTATGAGTGTGAGCGGTTGGTGGATGGAGGGTGTCAGTGCATGTATCCTAGTGCGCTGCAAGATCAGTGTTTGGTTGAAGGTAAGGCGGTGTTGAGTGTATATGGGTTTAACACGGGGGATATGGGAAAGTATGTGGGTTACATGCTTGTTATTGTGGTTGGTTATAGGTTGTTTGGCTGGGCAGTTTTGTGGATGAGGAAGCATTGAGATGAGAGTGGGACATAGAATGGAGTGTTATGGGGTAGGTTATCGCTTGAATTTTTTCCCTCTGTTTGCTATATAGCGTATTAGATTAATTATCTTAGAAAAGAAT